AGCCTGGGTACTGGGTATGGCAACGTAGTGTCAGCTGGAGTGCAGCCAGGAACAGAGGTTAAGCTCGTCGAATGGGGACAGGGACTGGACTGGACTGGACTGAACCAATGGCCCAGAATGTCTGGACCCTGGCCTTTCTTCTGGGCTTAATGAAGACAAGACTACTTTCATGGCGGGATGGACGGAGATGAGAAACTGGTAAGCTGGGGGCAGTCTTTTATTTCTTTTCCAATAAAGCTTACATTACAGCTTCAGCCTCCCGTACATGGATCCCAGAAATGCTTTTCTTGCGACTCTGGAAGGATTCCATATCAACCGGCAACATGTGGAGGACTGGATTTTCAGAGGTTCTAAACACCTGAACATATTTAACATATTAGAGTTGTACTTTAATTTAGGTATTTGAGTGTTTGGTCCTTACCGTCCTTGTTAAAAACAGGCGTTTATTTTTTTCTAAAATATCTTTTAAAAATCATGGGCTGAACAGACCTGTGACTAGTAAGAAGATTGAATCAGCAGTTAAAAATTTCTCAACAAAGAATAGCCCAGAACCAGATGACTTCACTGGAGAATTCTACCAACTCTAAAGAAATAATACCAATCCTTCTCAAACTCTTCTAAGAAACTGAAGAGGAGGGAACACTTTCAAACTCATTTTATGAGGACAGCATTACCTTTATACCAAAGCTGGACAAAGAGACCATATGAAAATAAACTAAGGCCAATAGCCTTGATAAACATAGATGTAAAAATCCTCACGATACTAGCAAACTGACAATTAATTAATTAAAAAACCAATACTAGCAAACTGAATTCAACGCACATTAAAGGATCATACTCTGGCTAGACCCTGCTATACTGATCACTGATCAGGGCTGCCTTCTACTTTCAGGGCTTTGAAGAGTTTTAGTGAGGTAGTTTTACTTTTCACTCCTTTATTGTCTTTTCCTTGGACTGCCACAGAGATGGGATGTGATAGTATATTTGACTCACACTGGCCTCTAAGTAAATTTCCAATTCCTTCTGAATCTGAATCATGGTTCTTGAATCTAATTTGTGTGGCTAGACTCTCATTCCCCTTGGATCAGCTTGTTTTTGTTCTCATGTAAATAACCTCAGTGTTTCCCAAGCCTGACACCCAGGGTGTGCATACCTTAGAAAATTCTCAGCGTGAGAATCCCTGCTGCATAGAAACACAGAATGTTCCTGGTAATGAGCTTCAGGAAGCGAGGGTATTGACAACTGGCTTCTTTAAGCAGACCAGAATAAAGGAGCAGCAGGAAAGTGCTTGAAAAAAATCAGCTGTGAAGATTCACATCTCAGAGCTCCCTGTGGAGTCAGGTTTTTTTTAGATTTTTTTCAGAAAGTCTATATTGGTGTATTTTTCTAATTTAAAGCATATGCTTATTTATTTTATATGCCATAAATAAATAAGCATACCAAATGCCATTTCCAAACTATTTTTTTTCAAATGTGTTACAGTTATTACTAATTATTCTTACTTAAGAATCAGCATTAGGATTGCATCCTGTTGTATATGCTGTTTGGGCCTATTCAGATTCTCATGACTGGGCTTTTCTATCAATTTCTCACTTGTGGGAGTTGACTCCTGATAGGTTATGTCTGTCCCCTCGGCTGAAGGAAGATGTCTCACGCAGAGTTGCCAAGGAGTTTAAACTTCACCACCACCACCACTGTGGGACAATCTCTCTGGTGAATTCACATCTCAGAGCTCCCTGTGGGATCAGGTTGAATCTGGATTCTAAAACCACAGCTTTTCATAGCTTCTTGCCTGGCCCTATTCTGCTTCCCCCTTTGCCTACAGGCTCCTCCTAGGAGCACTTCCTCAGTAAATCACTTGCTTCAGAATTTTTGGGACACTATGTTTTACACATGTGGCAATCTAAATAAAATACCCACAACTAGCTATGTGATCAATAGAAAAGGCAGGATAAGAACCTATTATAGCTTTTACACTTTTTAGAGAGTTACTTGAGCTATGTATTTTCTCTCTCTCAATATTTTGTTAGCACTGTGTTGCAGTAACTAGATGTCTTGCTTACATCTGTTAGCATGGCATTGTATAATCACTTCAGTTTTATGTGTGAAAAAAATTACATAGGATGCTGTGATTAGTAGGTTTAAAAAATGTTACATCTTTTATTACCTCTGCTTAGGACTCTGAAAATATGATAGAAAACATCAAATATTGTCTGCTTTCTGAAGTTTATTTTCTTAAAATAATGAGGTTTCATTATATATTTCCGTGTCTTCTCAGTTTCTATTATATCTGGTCCTGAAAGAAACAGCTAGTTCAGCTAAAACCACCATCTGTATTTATATACAGAGCTTTTCCTTTATATCCCATTAACACTTATGTCCAAATGAAATGAACTGGACAATCTGGAAGGAAATAGGAAATATTTCCATTTGACTTTTCCTTCAGTATGGAGCTCAACCCAAGCAGCCAAAACTAGGGTTCCCGTGTTAGGATCCCAACTTAATTGTTTAAAAAAATTAAACATGCCTGTAACACGTTTATAAAATTTACATCTCAGATGAGAGAGAAAGCATACCTCCACTTAAAAAAAAGCCATCGAATCCCCAGTAACTTTAAGTTACACAATGAAACCCCTTCTCTATGACCCCAGAAACCTTTAGCAGGTCTGAAACCCAGAAATAATCTCAAAATAGCCCATTTAAAATTCAGAATTCATTAAGTCTTAAAACCTTGCTTAACTCTAAAATTAATGTTATTTTCCCCAAAATAATTTTAACAGTATCAGATTAATTAAATGAAACTATCCTTACCCTGTAGATTTACAATGCTTTAAATGCATAAATTGTTATAACTTATCAGCCGAAGGTGGTGATACAGTCTATTATATTTTCACATAGTCTTTGCTAGTAGTGATCTGTCGTCATTGGTAGGAAATCCCTATCCCCTACCCTCTCCAGCCACCTTCCATTTTCCAAGGACCTCAGACTATTTGAACATGTAAAGGGTTTATTTTAACACATAAAGGCATCCAGTACAGTGAGAACTAGTGGGTCTGATCAGTTCAATGAGTCCATTGCCTTTGTTTATTGTTCACAGTGATGTCACATTTGAACATGGCTCTGCATCATCCAGAAAACTCTCATTCTCTGCCCTGGTGATACCCTTAATGCCTTGATCCCTGCCAGGCCACTCCAGTGTCCAGTTCTTGAATACTGCGATAATATATTGAATTCTTACTCAGCAGATCACATTTTCCTCCTGATAGTGCTGGTGGAAATAGGGTTCTTACACGGAGTCATGAGAAAAGCATTTCGGGGACCCATGCATAGGAGGATGAGGTGTAGTGGTAAGAGTCATTGGGGGAAAAACAAAGAACTGGCCCTAGGTGCCTGGTGTCTCATCCATGACCAGATGGCTCAGCTCTGTCTCATTATGAAATAAGTCCAGTCTCTGGCATCACCAAGCCTGCATTGTCCTCACCAAGCCCAGAAATGCAGAACTTCTCTCTCTGTGTCTCATTTCTCCATCTCCACATTCGTCCCCAAGTCTACACTTGGGTTGTAACCGGTGCTGCACTTGGGCCCTTGTGGCTGCAAAGCCTGCATAGCTGCTTCGGAGAGAAAGTGTGGGAATGAATGGGTGAATGAATCAACCCCGGGCCTTTTTTTTTATTTTTAAAATATATCTTTATTGATTTTAGAGAGAGGAAGGGAGAAGGAGGGAGAGAGATAGAAGCATCAATGATGAGAGAGTCATTGATCAGCTGCCTCCTGCAGGCCCCCGACTGGGGCTTGAGCTGCAACCTGGGCATGTGCCCTGACCGGGAATCAAACCCCGATTGCCTGGATCCTAGGTCGATGCTCAGCCGCTGAGCCACACCTAGCTGGGCAACCCCGGGCCTTTGTTAAGCTTTGATTATATTATCTCCAGGTTGGGACTGAGCAGGTTTTCTTTCATACCAACCGATCCCTTTCCTGGCTCTTTGCAGGTCTGTGCTGGGCCCTCCCCCTGCACCACTTTGGCTTCTATTGCACATACCCTACAGTAGAAGGACCTCCCTCTGTGCCATCTTGGTCTCTACTGCACAGCCCTCAGCAGAGGAATTTCCCCTTTACTGGTTCTCCTTCTGTAATCTATGGGAAGGGGTTAGTTGTCCCCTGGGAAGATTGGAAAGCCAGTTCTTCCTGCCCGCTGGGGGCGATGTTAATCACCTTGGCGGGGCAGTGCTGCGATCCCATGGGGTGTCTGGAAGCTCTGGTTTCCTAGATAATGCTGCTTAATGAGCTGTCTGTTCCTTTCTCTTTCGTTAATATCTAACTAGCTTCTTATACTAACACTTTGAGACTTATATTCGGGGATTTGTGTCTAAAGGGCATTGACAACTTGCTGTGATGGAACCTGTCCTCCAGGACTAACCTGCAGCCTCCTGTGCTGATCCCTTTTCTCCAACACAGATTGCCTTTCCTCGTAGTGCGTTGCCACATGGGAGTTTCCAGTCTTTCCCTACCAAGTGAAATTAGCCAGTCAATCCTGACAGCCTTTCACAAACTTAAAATCTGGGAGAAAGCACATTCCTTTCCTCTCAGCACATCCATTTCCCAGTAGTCCCCTGAAATCCTTACAGCAACGATCTGACCTCATTTTCATACTGCATGTACTAAAGGGATGAGTAGCTCCTACTAAGGCACAGAAAACAATCAGAAAAGAAGTCCTGTTGCACTGTTTCCTCAGGTGGATATGTTTTCCCATAATAATGAAAACCTACTTTAAGGAGACTTGCTCTATTTTTAGATATAGTGCACTTTGAAAGATTTTTATTTCAACGATGCCTCATTACATGCCTTAAGTTCCTTGGCAGGATAAATTCAGTTTCTGGATAATCTATTCTGCTTCATTGAGCTGTAGCTTCATAGTAGATTTTAATATTTAGTAAGGTTTAAACTATGTAAATGTGTTTTTTTGTGTGTGAACTAATCTAAAATACTTTTTTTCCCATTAGCTCACCCTATAAAGTACACAGCTAATATTCCTGTACGTTTAAATAGTAGTCCAGTTTGCTATCAAATGTTACGTCTGTCTGGAGAGCTAAAATTGCCCAAGTTATTGTTTGACCCTCCATTCATATTTTTCACCCCTGTTCCTTTGGATGTAACAACTGTGATGGATATCAACATTTTACCTCAAAGTTATTACAGGTAAATGTTCAATGTGAATTTACCATATTTTCTTTATGTGCTTTTTGTTTGTATTTATGTTAATGAGTCATGAGCAATGTCTAACTTTTTTCTATAGTTGGAACAAACTATTAAAATACTTAACTGCACATTTAAATTAAAACACAAAAAAAGCTCACTTAGGTACCTCACAGTTAGTCATTTAATTTTCCAGTAAAAATTTTTGTTAGGTCTCTCCATGGTGTAAGAAGCAAGGTTAGAAACTCAGGGTATTTGTTTTCTATTGCTGTGTGACAAATTTACACAAACTTAGTGTCTTAAAAGATGGATTTGTTATCTCAGAGTTTCTTTGGGTCAGGAGTCCGGGTCAGTTTGACTGTGTCCACTGCTCATGGCCTCAATAGGTGAAAATCAGATGAGACTGTAGCAGCCGTCTCATCTGAGGCTCAGTCCTCCTCAAGCTCCTTGGTTGTTGGCAGAATTTATCCTTGCAGTTGTAGGACTGAGACACCATTTTCTTTGCTGGCTGTTGGCTTTGACCACTATCAGCTCTTAAAGGAAACTCTCAAGTCCTAGCCATGTGCTTCCTCCTCATAGTGTGCTATGTTATTCATTCAAAGCCAAAAGTATATCATCTCTCGACTTCTCTGTCTTGGACCTCTAAACCACCTTTTAAGACCTCATCTGATTAACTCTGATCCACCCAATTCATTTGACTAAGGACCTTAATTACATATGGAAAGCCCCTTTATCACTGTTATCTAACATAATTACCAAAATACTGTCTTATCATATTTACAGGTCCTACCACCCAAGGGGTGGGAATTACACAGAGTTTGTACACCAAGGGACAGGACTCTTGAGGGCCATCTCGGAATTCTGCCTAGCTCATGCATGTACTATTGCCGAATGCAGTCTGTTTTCATTTTTAAAGAAATGTATAAGCAACCCAAACCCCAATAGTATATTGGCCTAGATAGATATATTGTGAGCCTCACACTACAAAACAAGTAGTTCAGTAGATTGCGTGTGTGTGTGTGTGTGTGTAATTGCTGGGCTTTTGAGTAGTATTGGAGTTCTCCAAAGGGCTCAAATCAAATCCAGCAAACAAAAAGCATACTTACAAGCTTAAAGCAGCAGAGTAAGAGTGGTAAGCTCTAAGAACATGCCAAATGCAGGCTTGTTCTTCAATCACGGGACAGCTGCAAGGTAGAAAAACACAATCTCAGGTTCCTGGATTAAGCCAGGGGCACTGGAAGTGGCTAAAATGGTGCCATGTGGGTACGGTCTTCTGCCTTTCAGCAGAAGTAAGCAACTCTTCTCTAGATCGGTGGTTCTTAAACTTTAGTGTATGCTAGAATCACCTGGAGGACTGTTTTTAAAAACAGAGGTGGTTGGGTTCCATTCCCAGAATGTATGATTCAGGAAGGCTAGAATGAGATGTGATCATTTGTATTTCTAATAAGTTTCCAGATGATACTGATGCTGCTGACCCATGGACCACATTTTGTCAACCGCTACTCTAAATGAAGCTATCCTCAGTTTGGACCCATATTTCAATTGTCACAGATTTCTATCAGCCAGACCGGAGCACAGTATCAAGCATCACAAAACTCACAGGAGGGAAGACTGTAACTTAGAGTCAGCGCAAAGGACCATCATGAGATTTAGACTCATAAGTAATTCAGATATTGGAATTATCAGACACAGAATAGAAATAGATTCCCCTTAGATAAAACAAAAAATGCAAGGAGCTTATGATCACTGCCTCTAATACATTTTATTGAAGAATATAATTCATGCAGGTGGTTAAGAGAAATAAAAAATGTAAGAATAGGAAAATAAACTACAAAACTGTAATTTATATAGATTAGATGATTTTCCATGTAGGAAATTAAAATAATTGACAGGCAAATTTTTAAAGCTATAAAGATCATATGAAGATAGACAATGATAAGTCCAGTACTTAAAACTCAGTAGCATTTCAACATACAACATTAGAACATGCAACTCTAAAATTACTATTTATAAAGACAATAAAATTAAAGATAATAGGAATAAATCAAATAAAACTTGGAAGATCTGTATGGAACTATTTGGAGGAAATTACAAAACTTAAAGAACCCAGACATTGAAGATTTACACCATATTTAGGAATTGAAATACTCAATATTGTAAAAAAGATAGTTCTCCGCAAATCCATTTACATCTTCCATACAACTGCAATAAAAATTCAAGTAAAATTTTTCATAGAGATTAACTAGTAAAAGTCTACATTTTATATGGAAGCATTGAGAGTCAAGTAGAGCCAAAGAAGAAGATGGGAAAGGCTGGCCTTACCAAATAACAAGACTAAACCAATGTGATGATGCAGCGATAGATACAATGACCAAAGGACTAGAACAGAGAGACTTGAAAAAGGCACACACATGGGAGGATACTGAATATTTGACAAAGGTGGTATTGTAGATATTTGGAGAAAAGAGGTTACTGTTTCATAACTTGTGCTGGAACAACTGAGTGTCTCTATGGAATATTCCACACCACTCCTGTCTCGCGTAATACTCATAATCCATTAGAAATGGATTAAAGCCTTAAATGTGAAGGCAAAATTACTTAAAATCATGCTAACAAATAAACGACTGATAAAAATTTGTCAGAAGAATATCAGAAAACTCAATAGAAATGTTGACAAAAAGCGTCCGTATTTTACAGAATAGGATTCATAAATGGAGAATGAACATCTGAAAACATATAAATGACCTTTTTGTAAACTTGGAAACGAAAATTAAAGGCCATAATAAAGTAGCGTTTTGCCTGTCTTGTGTAGGCAAAGGTTAAAGTCAGTGAGTGGGAGCACACTGCAAAGTGTAACATCTGCATATTTCACAGCCCCCAAATTCCAGTTCACAACATACACAAGAAAAACTCTTGCACACGTGTACCGCAAGGTATGTCTGAAATTATTCAGTTGCATTATTCAGAATAATAAAGTTTGGGAACTGCACGTGTCCTGTGACAGGTGAAGGGATAAGTAGTTTGTGGTATGTGTATACATGAATATTCTCTAGTGAAGTGGGTGAACTTTAGCTAATGAGTTAATTGTGTTAGGAATCTGAGAAACAAAATACTGAGATAAATTTTTAAAAACAAGGAAGACTACATATATTGATATTTTTATATAAAACAAACAAGGAAAGCCAAACAATTTTTTATTTATAAATATACACCTACCTGTAGGTATAAAGAAATAGATATAAAGAGTAACTTGTTGACATTTAAAATTATATTACTTGTGAGGATTTGTATACCAATGTGAACTGTTGATAAGCATTATTTTCATAAACTTCTTATTTGCTATAGGAGTCCACACATATAAAAAAAGAAAGTAATATGGTTAAATTATTTATAGATCACTAAAAGTTATCAAGTATTCATTAGATGTAAAAGTGAATACTACGTACTATGTTATTCAAAATTATAAACATTTTAGATTGGCTGACTAATTTACAGATATATAGTGAAATATGTGAACATTAAGTGAAATTTTTTAGTGGTGATTTAAAAATATTCATGATGTATGCATACAGTACTTAAGAGTATACATATTTAAAAAGAAATTATGTGTGCGTATTAATCTGTTAATATTTAGCTACATGTGGTAAAGCTCTAGCTATTAAAGTAATTATTGGTAAATTTTTGTCAGGATATATTTACGGGCAATACTGTTTAATATCATGGCTGTGGTTAAAAACACTGTATTTAATCAGGTCTTTTAACCCTCTTTTTTAATCTTTAGAGAACAAAAGGAACTTTTGATTATCTCATGTGGTTATTAAAATAATACATTATCAATCATATTGTGACCAGAAAATAAGAGATGATACAAAACAATCTTTAATAATTATGCATATTATAAATATTTGTTGTTTTAGTTTTTCTAATGATCCAAGAAACAGGAGAACACATATAAAAACAATTACTTGCACACATTGAGCTAAAATTTTTTGTTTTTAAATTTTAAACAGAGATGCAACTTTAAAGGTCATGATTCCCCCAGTAAGGCTTCTTGGTGATGAGGAGGAGATTCACCCTCTTTCTGTGAATTTTCCAAAAGGCGCAACCATTGCAGCCTCTCTCAATGGAATTAACAGTGAGCTCATCTGCCGCTTCAGCTTCAAATCATCTAAACCTGTGTCATTTTTCACCAGTGTTCTTTTCTGTGATGACACAGATTGCAGGTAAGGTATTTAATTGTAGATTCTTTTGTTTTTGACAGTGAAGACGAAAAGGGTTATACTATTTTACACTATTGTAAAATGTTAAAGGAGAGACATCTAAAATAGTGAGAAACATCAGTATGACAAGTTTCTAAAATATGATTGTTACATGTTGCTTTAACAGGCTCAGAGAAGTTCAAATACAACTTGGCAGAACCATGTTTTTGAATTTCTTACCTTTTAGGACCAGAAATCCCACTTTTACATTATACCCTGAGATAATTTGACTTACCAAGTAACCAAAGGCTAACACATACAGCAATAAAGTCTGTTAAAAATGTTTATAGTGAGAAGTAGCATTAGAGTGAATTGTACACTAAAGATTAGTGTCAGTATGTTTACTCTTTGTGATAATTTATTAACTTTTATTGGAATTATAACATATAATATATTAGCATACTATATATTATAGTCTATAGTCTATAACATATTACTGTATTATATAACACATAGTATATTCATTCCTAGTCAAAGGATTGCTTTATGTGTTACGAATTAGAATGTAGAGAAACAGATGTTACTGGAATGTTCTAAGGCGAAGTGTGGCTGTATCCAGAACACAGTGCATGGAGTTCTCCTGAACTCCAGCTTCCATGTCTCTTTCTTGCATATGTTATAGATAAAATCTAAGTCTCAGACTCCCATTTTTCTCTTTTAATGCTAACAGTCCATATTTTGTTGACATTAAAAAACAATAGCGTTGCTTTAGGCTCCTATCAAGCACTGAATTCTGTGCCTCTGTCCTGGGAACCATCTTTCGGTAGGTTACCTTGTTCATAAAAGTTTAACTTTAGTTTGCTCTAGCCTTTAAATTCACACTTTGCCCAAAGCACTACATAAAGTGTACCTTGGAGCTCATCAAATGAGTCCATGAATGTCTTAAAGCTAATGAAGGCTGCCTGGCCTGCGTGGCTCAGTGGTTGAGCACGGACCTATGAACCAGGAGGTCACAGTTTGATTCCTGGTCAGGGCACATGGCTGGGTTGCGGGCTCGATCCCCCAGTAGGGGACACGCAGGAGGCAGCCGATCAACGACTCATCATTGATGTTTCTGTCTCTCTCTCCCTCTCCCTTTCTCTCTCTGAAATCAAGAAAAAACATATTTTTAAAAAAGCTAATGAAGGCTCAGACCACATTAACAGGGTGAGAAGGAAATAGTGTCACTAAATACTGTATATGGCTTCTGAGACAAGGGTATAAATGCCTCTCAGAGGGACAGGCATCACTGTGCCAATGTCTTGAGGTCTGATCAGCAAAAGGGATGGGATGGGGACCTGAAAACAGTCTTAAGAAGGAGGGTGCTATTTGATGGTTCTCTTGTCTCTGTTGTTTTGTTTCCTTTTAGCCTCGAGACTTGTTTGCTCTTACCTGAATTTACCACCCATCTTACCTTCCTTTCTAATAAACTCCATTTCAACCCTCAGCAGGTTTAGGATAAAGTAGAGCTATTGGAACTATTTTAGAAACTTTGAAAATCATAGATGGGCTACAAAAGGCTTTTCCATGCACCCAGATGAAAAAGACAAGAAATCATGATCACTCTCTGGAACCTTAGTACAGGCAAATTCTTTTACTGCCGCCTTCTTAACTCCTTATCTAGTTTTCCAAGGTCTGTATAATCAGATCTTCCTTCTCCTCTCAACTCCCCCAATCTGTCTTTGCCTTTCTCTTTCTAGACACTCCACCTCTGATCCCATTGAGATAAATGAGGTCTTTCGACAAATTCCTTAAGTGCTTCCCTTTCACCTCAGAAGTTCTCTTCGGAACCAGTTGCTTTCATTGCTTTTATTGTGGATAATTTTTGTGTGCTCTGCCCAACATTTTGGGGAAGTAAAGATGAAACAGAAAGGGGCCCTTCCTTGATGGATGGCAGTGTAGCGGGGAAGGTAGACTTTAACCAAGGTTTTTATGTACTCTTTGGTGCCAATAGAAGTAAACAGAAAATGTAATGCAAAAGCAGTTACTAATAATGTCCTGGGTGGTGAGGGAGTCCCGGTAACTGGGTAGGCTTGTGAGTAAAATCTCAAAAGATATATTATGCTTGCCAAAGTTTACCCTCAGTTGAAGCCTTTTTTTTTTTTTTTTGCATCCCCTTTGTCCACAGGAAGTGCATGGGTTCAGTAAAGAATAAAACACTCTTTCCTCCATGCTTTGCTTTCTTTTTCTTAAAACCATTTCATACTGCGGCTCCCTTGAGGGCTAACATGCTTGGCTTTTAATTTTCTTTCCTTGTTTAGATTTTGTCATATTTGGATTGGCTGAACTGGTGCAAGATTATAAATTATAGCCACTATTGTATGGGCAGATATGTCTGCTGCCACTGATAATGGTCCCTTGCACACTCATGTGCCCTCAGCTTGGAGGTTGCACACCCTGCTTCTTTTCCCCCAATTCCCCCAAAGTCTGAGGATGGAGGTTGTATAGATGTATGGGAGGTTTGGTGATGTGGGCAGAGTATTACAAGTGGGAAAAAAAAAAATACACTAGATCTGGATAAAAAAAAACACACTAAAAAAACCAAACCAAAACAAACAAAAAAATACACTAGATCTGGAGACTGAAACTGCCTCATGTTTGCAGGATATTTTTGGTGTTTTGGGCTTGATGGTCACTGGCAGGGAGAAACTGAGAGATGACACTGAAAGGGCAGCAGTAGCAGATGATGATAGTCTTACATGCTCTGCTTCGGTGTCCATGGGTGAGATATAGGAGGACGACCAGGACTGATTATGGAAATGAAAGCTTGGAAAAATACGGGAAGCAGGAGGTCAGCTATTAATTAACACAGGTCAGGTCCTCGGTCCTAGTCTAGAATCCACAAAGCAGCTGGGAAGGTGGATGTTTTTAGATCTTCATCTCTGTTTTACAGAAGAGGAACCTAAGGCCCATAATGTGATACAGCCTGTCCAAGTTCACTCAGATATTAAGTGGAGGAGCCAGGAATTTGAACTGAATTTTTGTTTCCAAAGATTATGCACTTAGTCACCTTGTTTTAACATCACTTAGATTGTTGAGAATCATTTGGAAATAGTTACTGTAAGTATACTTTTTTGAGTAACACTGTCATATTTCATATACAAACTTTCCAAAGAATAAAAAAAAGAGGTGGGCCCTAACCGGGGTGCTCAGTGGTTAGAGCATTGGCCTGCAGACTGAAGGGTCCCAGGTTTGATTCCGGCCAAGGGCACATACCTCGGTTGCAGACTCGATCCTGGATCCCGGCCGGGGACCATGCAGGAGGCAACCAATTGGTGTATTTCTCACATCGATGTTACTCTCTCCCTCCCTTCCACTCTCTGAAAAGCAATGGAAAAAATATCCTCAAGTGAGGATTAAAAAAAAAATTAAAAAGAAAAAGGTGGTATATTTTCCTTTTCTTCTGCTCATTTGTATGTCTGTCTTTCTCTCACACACACATACATACACACACACATTAATGAAAATTTCATGTTTGACATATAGTAATGATAGTAATTAAAGCCTACCCTATAAAAACTGGGATATTATTTATTTATTTTTATGGATATATTAATTGATTGATGAGGCAAAAACTCATAAGTTATCTCCATGGGCACAACATAAATAATGTTTACAGTTTCACTAAAAGATCCTGTGTTACAACTACCACAGTCAAATCTACAGAAGATGATTTTTACTTAAAAATAAATTTATTGTATGTAGGTACTTATAAGGTATCATACAACTCTTTTAGATATTTTTAATTAATAGTGTTTACAAAATACTTCAAATCAATGTATTAAATTAAAATCTAGTAATAAAACAACTGCTGAAGTATTTTTTTGAAATTATACATTTCACATCAATAAAATTTCAAAGTGGAAAATGCATATTTCTTATAAAATTAAAATATTTTCTTTTTCTACAAAAAATAAAGAAGCATGTGCTTATTATTGAAATAAAACATATCTTAATTTAGGCATGTATGGTTTATGAGGGATTTTTGTATTTGTTTATAAAATAGTTGAAACTATATTAAGAATGGTTTTTGAGGGAGTCAGGGAATACAATAGTAAAATATAATTCCTCTCATTGCTGCTTTACGAATCAACCTCTATTCTAGGTTAAATTATGATATTATGTCCTCATCGATTCAGCTTTTTTCTTTCTGACTTTCCTTATTTTCACTTTGGCATATGAGGTCACATTGTAGGGGCAGGAATTCAGTTGTCATGGGATGTGATTGCTTTAGATAATCTCCGAATCATTTATATTATGTTTCAGAGTTGATATTTGTTTTTATGTTTACATATGTATGTCATGTGGGAATTCACACAGAGATCAAGTAGATTAGGAGTTGCCAGAGTGTTGTAACCCCCAATTTTGCATCCGGGTTTCCACTCTAGGTTGAGGAGAAGGAAACATTATATCCTGAAGGAACGTGTAAGAGAATGAAGTCTTGCTACTTGCTCTTGCTTTATGTTCACTTTCTGATTTGTACTTTACCTAGATCTTGCAGAAAATGAAAGTTATAGCTTTGGGTGATGGATTTCATAGAAATCCTAAGAATGCCAAAGACAGCTTAGTATTTTCCTATGATTAACTCCAAACATAGGGTGTTTCCTTTTGTAGAATAAAGAGTTGATTTCAACTGCATGTTTAAGGTAACCTGGAAGTTAGCTTGAGTTAACAGTGCCTCTGTTAAAACCGCAAACACCAGTTGAAAGTTCATAATTAGGAATGTGGCATGTCAAAGCTCTGAGATCCTCCGTACATTTTTTCAGTTTCACAAATATTTAACACATATCCATTTTACTCAAAACCGATTATATCTTACATAGGTTTTTAGTACTCAAATTTAATTTGAATAACTTCACAGCAATTGAAAAAAATAAGCTGTTTTACAAGAGAGCTAACATGAGTAATTGAAAATTAAAATTTAAGCCAAATGAAGGAAATCCAACTGACTTATTTATCAAATAGATATAGGGTGCTATTCAGTT